AGCTGTGGAGCAAGCCTGACCTCCCTGCTTCACCTCTGCATTGCCCAACCTGAGACTTTCTCCTTTGAGCTCAACTCTGCATTTGCATTTAGAACCAGGCATCTGTGGCCACCAAGTTCATTCCTGTCGCTAAAACCCTCCATGTCCCCCTCCCAGCTCAAAGGGCCTCCACCTGGTCTTTCCACTTCTGGGCAGAGCTGGCCATGTCTCCTCCCATGCCGAGCGAGACTCGGGCATCTTTTGAAAAGTAAACACCATCTCTATTCCATAACCAGTTGAAACATAAAGCCAGGCAAACGCTTAAGAGGATTTGAAAGCCAAACAGGAATTTCAAATGACAGCTGGGTAATCACATCTTCTCTTAACTGGCCTGTTTTTTTACCAGGTTTTATTTTCAGCACTTCAAAGCATTTGTGTTGCTATTGCAAACCTTTGCTCATAGCTCTCCTGCAGCCAAGCTCTCCCCCGGGTTATGCAAATATAAATACCCCAGAAGCAGCCCCCACACAACTGCAAGTGACTGAAACAGCATTGCCACAGCGAGTCCTGTGTTTCTTCTCCTTGGGAGAGACCAGGCAGGAGGAGGGAGCTAGATGGGGGCGACATCCACATTCCTTTGGACTTCAGGATACGGGGGAGTGAGTCATCCCTTGATTTTTAAAAATACAGTTGTTTCAGAGATGTTCAGTGTAGCACTGGGCTAGGGAAGACATGCCATCACCCTAGTACTCGGATACTGCAAGTGGAAGAGAAAACCGGTACAATCCTTGGGTGGTCTCTAAGCCCAGTGGTCTCCAAACCCGGCTCATCCCTCCCTCCCTTCCTCCAGCTGACCTGAGTTTGTAAGTGGAGATAATTTCCCACCCTTCTATCTACCTAAACTTCTGACTTGTTTTGTACAAGAAAATGAAGTTGGAGTGACGCTGTGCCAGTTATTTATTTTTTTTTGGAGGGGTTAGGGTCTTAAGAAACCTGGTGGCTGCTGGCTTTCACTCTTTGGAAGTCAGCCAGTAAGAAATCTGACTTGTGATGTCCAGGAGCATGCATTCGGCTGATAAACACACATCTGATACACTAAGAGCATGGACCAACATGCTAAGAACACAAGTTTGACAAGCTGAGCATGCCCAGAGCAGCCAGACACACTAAGAATGCATTGTGGCCTACATGACAAGAACATAGGGATACACGCAAAGAACACACCTACACCTCAAGAACACATAAACACAAAGAACATGTTACCAGCAGCTACCTAATACCAAGAACACATTGCCTACATGCTAAGAACATACACCTGGCACTTCAAGAACATGTCTCTGGTGCTTTGAGAGTGTGGAAGGAGAACACCGGAGAGTCTCTTGCTACAAACAAATCACAAACGTGCCTGTTGTGCTACGAACATACTATCATCTGTGCACTAAAACTCAATGTGAATAACATATGAGCTATGTGTCGTGAACACTCAACCTACATACAAAGAACATGTCATCTACATATGTAGGACATAAAAACATCAGAATCTACATGCTAAGCAAACACAAGCGACACATCACCTAACCCCAAACACAGGTGTGCCATGTGTATCTCACACACTAAGAACACACCAATACATACTAAGTACACATGAATGTTGTGTCCCTACATGATAAAAGCAGACAATTAATGTACCACCACCCATCATTAACATGCCACCTGTATGCTAAGAGCATAAGCATACATACCCAGACTGTCACCTAATGCTACGCACATGCAGATCTTATGCCAAGAACATATGAGTCAATGCTAAGGACACACCAAATGTGATCTGCACACCAAGGCCATGAGCCATGGGCCATGAGCCAGCTACAGAGAACACACACATTATAGTGGATCTACATGTTAAGAACATACAAGCAACTCACCAACACATCAAGAACATGTTACTTGTATGACACCCACAGGCTAATAACATGTGAGTTGCATGGGATATATGCTAACATGTGGGTTGTATGCCAAAACACGCCATCTAATGCTGAGAACATATGGCACCCAAGAATCTCTTACTACAAAGAAATCAAATTCATCCCTGGACATGTGTGACAAACGTGTCCAACATGCGGGAACAAGGGGCTTATTATGCTGACAAACGTGTCCTTTGTGTTAACATATCACCTGTGTGTTAAGGACACAACATCAAGCTGCTAAAACATAACACCTACATGCAAGTAATGTGTTTAATCAGCATGCAAATCACATGTCCTTACTCCTGGGTTTTGGACACATTTTTGGTACAGATCCGGGGATGTCTTTGTGATTTCTTTGTAGCAAGAGGCCCTCAGACACCATTCTTGCATGCTCTCAAAGTGCCAGACATATGTGTTAGCATGCATACCACACACAAAACAGGTGTCCTCAACATATAAAGGACAAATGGTTCTTAGCATGCAGAGAACACAAGGCAACCATGTTCTTTGCATGCACACACTACACAACACACAACATGCATGTTCTTGGCATGTAGGCAACATGTTCTTGGCACTAGGTCACACGCTCTAACATGTGGATAGCACATTAAGCAATGCACTTAGTATGTAGATGATGCATACATGTTCTTAACATGCAAACTGTTCTTGGCACACAACACACACCACTCGTGTGTTCTTAGTATGTGGGAGACATGTCACTTGCATTTGCCAAGATGTAGATGACAGGTCACTTACACGTCCTAGCATGTAGACATTATATTCTTACTGTGTAGATAACATGTTCTCACCATGAAACACACATGGTATTAGAAAGCAGACCATGTGGCACCCATATGCTCGTCAAATCATTCACACATTCTTGTCGTGTAACTCACATGTTCTTTGTAGCAAGACTCACACATTCATGCTCTCAGGTGCCATTCTTGGCATGCTCTCCAAGTGCCAGATGAATATTGTTAGCATGTTAGAGAGGGGGAATCCTCATGAGAACTCAGGGAGAATTTGAGGGAAATACAGCCAAAGTGCCACACAGGATGACCCTTAGAGGCCCATGGGTCTTCAGGATGGAAGATAGCTCCTGGCTTCTACCACCCGCTGCCCATGGCTACGTGGCCACTGAGAGCCCAGAACAGAAGCCCATCGAGCTTCTGAGGGGATGGCATCATCCCCAGTGGGTTTCTGACCACCATCCACCCGAGAAAACCCTAACCTTGAGGAACATGAGGCAGTGCCTGTAACCGCAGCACTTGTAAACCAGGATGAGATTTTTCTATTTCCAGATCATTTGCATTTTTTATTTAGAAAAATGTATGTAGCAGCAAAACAAAGTGACTTCTCCTTCAGCTGTAGTCAGCATGGAAGGGAAGCTGGGAGGACAGAGAAACTCAGCACAGCAGGGAGACCCAAGTTCAGGCCCAGGAATGTCTCCTCCTTACTTGACCTTCCCACTTGACCTTCCGCGGCCTGTACAGGACCCTCACCAGCAGAGCGCCTGCTGACCTGAGAGGCCGTGCCCCCAAAACCTTTCAGTCCCTAAGACTGTCGAGCGACAGGGTTAACCAGATGGGCGCCAGATCCTGGGGGGCCCACGGGAGCAGGCCCAGGAAGGTGGCGACCTCCGTGCCACTCTGAGGCATTTGTCCCACAGATGACAGGGGCAGCGGGAAGGGCTTTTTAAAACTCACTTTACTGAGGGGCTTATTGGAAGGCGCTCGATGAAAGCAGCTTTGGACAGGGTATCTCAAGGGCATCATTTCATAAGTTGGTGGCTGGAGCTGGTAACAGCTTCTGTTTAACATGTACCTTGTTCCACCAAGTTCCTTAACCTGGTGGATCAGCTCCGACAGGGCTCTGTGCGTGCCCGAGCACGCTCTTGGCCTTGCTGCCCTCCTGGACTTCAGACTGAACCCTGGGGGCCGGCTCCGGTGAGTCTGGGCACCACTAACTGGGGAAGGTCAACACTGACAGGGACGCCGGGGGACCTCCTCCCGTGCAACGGCGGCCCTGAACACACTGCTCTCCTCCCAGTCTCCTGCCCAGAAAAAAACACACTAGGCTTCCTATGGGGCCTCAAGTACATCTTACGTTAACCCATGAGAAAGAGGCCTGCTACAGTAGGGGAAAAAATGCTCTTTGAAAAACAGCAACCCAAACTAGTTCATGAGTTTATGGGGTCTTGTGTATGTCCCTGAATATTTACACACGACATCAGGAGCCCCTCAGACAGGATGGGGGTGCTGAGCGCTGGCATCCGGAGGTGCTGCTCACACCCTTTCAAAGACTTCAAGCTGAGACACACTCAGTGACCAACCCACCACAAAGTCCTGTCTGCCACCATAGCTGGCTCTGTCGGGGGACAAAAACAGACCATTTTTGGCCTTAGATATAAAAGGAATGAATTCTCCACAACCACAAGGTAATGTGACTGAATTCAGTGTCAAGACGTCTCTAAAAGCAGCCGCCAAACTAGCACTGCACTTTAACACTAACTAAAACATGAAGGAGAGCCACTGAGTACTCCTCCCACACAGCCAGCCACCTCTACCAGCAAAGCCAAACTGCCTGGGGGCCCCAAGAACACTCACTCACTTATTCTCTCCCCATGTGGGGAGCTTTAGATTTTTATGATCAGATAAGGCCAGTGAATGAATGAATTCTGGGTGAAAATCTCTGTAAGATGTCAGGCTGCAAGATTCATTCCAGGGAGAATTTCAGCGCATTTAAACTTGGCACAAAGGAGAGGCAGGCTGTGACTTGGTGGGGGTGGGAGGGGGGGCCCACAGGGTTTCATGTCTCAGTGCAGTTGTAAAATGCTGGCAGCATCTTCAGTGTGGTTTGTGCACAATGTAGTCAGCACACCTACCCGTGGCCGAGACCACTCGTTCTTGCACACATTCACACCCTTCCTCACACGCCTCCCCCCAACCCCAATGCACACAACAGATTCCCCTAAAAGAGCAGTGTAAGATGAAATATTCCAGCTCAGTGAAGAATGAAAATAAGGGGGTGAAGAATCAAAACAGTCCCTTTCATTCGCGGCTTTAAAAGGATTTAATTATTCCAAATGACTTTCCTGGTCAGATACCAAGGAAGGATAAGGGCTGGCCAAGCCTCAAAATCCCATTTTTGCTTCACAAAATCCACAGAATGAATAGGTACAATTTGGGCCAAAGGTATGACAAGGGGAAGGGTACATACCAGTGAAATCTGCTTGGCAATTCACTACCATGTGCTTTCAGTAAGAAAGAAGTTAACTCACAAGAGGCTGTCCCAAGCCCTCTCCCAGACAGAACGCCAGTGGCCTGAGCGCACTCTTCACAGCTCTGATGCTGCAGGCCGAACAGGACCCTTTCATCTGTCCACCTCGAGCTTAAGAATTAAGTACACTTGTAAAATAAAGTATTTGGATTTTCAGCTTGCTAGCTAGTGTCACACATACATTTTGAGTAGGGTACTGCCATTCTCTGCATGCAAAAGATGGGTTCTACAGCGGTTTGGGGCAGTGGACCTATCACAGCCAACACCACTGTGAAGCTGTGAACGGCAGTGGGATTAACAAAGCACGCGTTTCCTGCTGCCACCGACTGTCCCACTCTCCTTTGCCGAACTACGAACTAGGCACGTCCAGTCTTTCTGGAAGTGCTGAGATCGGTATGGGGCCCACTATGAGCCATGGGAAGTCAAGAGGATCCTTCTCTTTCTCCTCCCCAAGTGGAAGAGTTGGAAGGTCTTGCTAACTCCCTCAGGTGCACGCCCGACACACGGGCAGGGCCACACCGCTGAAGGTAGAGACCAAGACCAGTCCCGCACTGGCCAGGAAGGACGCTGGCTCTGGGGTGAGGATGGAGGCCCAAGGCTCCCTGCACCACTGTTCTGGTGGCAAACCACCGTACGTGGGTGACCGGAGCTCAGACTCGGCAAGGCCCCCAACCCGCACCCGCCACTCACAGGGCTGCCGCTGCCCTCTGGAAGACGGGGACGGTAGGGGGCCACAGGTCCACACACACGTGACTGAGACTTCACATTTCCCAACGGGCTTTGTGTTCAGGAACCAGAACTGAATAAAAGCGCTGTTTAATTCTGTAAGACCAGTTTCTGTTTCAATGTTTATTGGTGCCTGAGGCCAGCGCTGGGCCGGGGGCTGCAGGACGTGCGAGGAGTCACACTCGACAACAACCCTGTGTGGGCGGGTCGTCCTGCCGTCCACCCAGGAAACCGAGGCTCCTGGTGAGCCGCCCCACCACACCGCCAGAAGGTGGCAGAATCGGGGACTGAATTCAGTTCTTTTTTTTAACTCCAGGTTCAATCCAACTCTTGGTTTGTTTTAGAAAATACAAAAGGTTTGGTCCCATCTATACAGTTTGTAAGTTTCCAGGTTTTGTTTCCTCCCCCTCAATCATCTTCATTCTAAAGTTTGGAAAAATATTACATACAATATTTTTGTAATATTGTATTTGTAACTGGACATGGCATCTAGTTGCGAGTTCAGTTAGTTCACGCGCGGTGTGGGAGGCTTCAGGCATGGCAGTGAGCTCCACAGCGACACCTCAGTGGCTTACTTCTCGCCTGGCCCCCCCCCGCCTCAGCCCTGCCCTGATGCCTGGGCTTGGCCCCTTAGAGGACAAAGTAAGAGGTGGTCGTGGCAATGAAACACAAAGGGGACACAGAGGGCGAAGACCTGCAGTGGTGCTCAGTCAGCAACACTTAGCTTACCCCCCCCCAGGACCTGCAGGTTAAGACGGACTCCAGGCAAGCCAAGGGCTGCCAGAAGCCCTCTGCAGGGAGTACTGCCTCAGCTTCCAGTCCTGCTGGCCCTGGGGATGTGGGGTGGGCAGAGGACATGGGACGCAGGTCACTGTTCCTAACTGTCCATCTTAAAGTGAGGAAACTGAGAGGGAAGAGAATCCCAGCCCCTCTAGGACTGCCAAGCCCAAGGGGAGGAAAGCCACGTGCCCTGATCGTAACAAACCTGGCCAGGTGCAGCACCCCAGTCACAAGCACCTAAGCCAACAAGCAGGCACCACCAGCAACCCTCCTACACGGAGCGGAGATGCCGCTCTTCCTTTGGCTGTCAGGAAACCCTACCTGAGGGCCCTACACCTACCACGCACACTGCCACTGGATTTTGCCACTAGGCTCACGCTGGCCAGGTAGTCTGTGCAAGAGGAGAGCCACGACTTGTCTGAGAGACAGTGAGAGACTACTCCGGTCCCATGTCCCACAACTCCAGTACAGGCAGCGGAACCTACATCACGACAGACTACATGTCACCAAGGACCCTGGACGGACAGGCCAGATTTTAGAGTGATGTGCAGTACACGTCCACCTTTCCTCTCTGACTGAAGCAGAACTTTGTATTGCTGCCCCCATCAACTTTTCTAGAGATGTCTAGGCAGCCTGTGAGGCACAAGGTGCATGGGCTGACCAGCCCCGTCCTTGGGCAGCCAGTCCCATCCACATTCCCATCCCCCCTCCCGGCCACACCAGCTACCAAGACCCACACAACAGAAGCAACTGACCCCTCCTCTGCTCAAACACCTGACAAGGTGAAAAGGCAGTGCACACACAACACCTGCTCTCCTTTACTTCATCCTGTCACCACTCCAAAGAATCCACGATGAGCTTCTAAGCCATTAACTTCCACTTAAATTCCCTCAAAATTTAACTGCTGTGTGTCTTGGTTTGGAATGCAGAACTTGAGGTATTTGAGGTTGTCTTTTAATCTTGAAAAAATGAAAAGGGAAGCTAGGCAAATACTGGAACTTGTGACCACAGTCTCTTACCACTTTGCTGAACAAATTCTGTTGATTAAAATAGAAAAGGCACATATCACCTGGTAACGCTGGTCTTCACAGCCACTTCTCTCGTACTTCTACCTACTGCTGACTCAGGTAGGAGGAAGGGCCCCGACACACAGCGGGGCTAGGGCAAGAGGATAACTGAGAGTGCCCATCACATTTTACTCTGGGCTTCACAGAGCCTAGGAATAGCCATAAACTTTCCTTAAAAACAAAACCAACCAACAAAAACAAAAACAAAAAAACTAAACCACAGTTACTCAACAGAAAGATTAAAGACTAGATAATTTAACTATATAAAAAAAACAAAACCCACTTTCTTTTGCTCCTGTATTCATTCTTTCAAGTTCACTTGCTGTCAGAAGGTAAGGTTTACAGTAATTAGGAAGAACTGCTCTCGTCCTATACCCACATGGAAAACAAGTCAGAAACAAAAGTCCACCATGGGAGAAATCTCAGAATGACCTAATCTGAAAAGAATTTAATTAACAAAATAAAGTGGGGGAAATGGTCCAGGAGGAGCTCTGGGAGCAAGGCCTCCTCCCTGAGGACACCGTCCGGCCTGGCCCTGCCAAGCCCTGGGGATTCTTGGACCTGTCTAGCAGAACCGGCCTCAACAACCAGAACCACTGCGCGAGGCCACCTTCTCCTTGTACTGACTCCTGTCATAAACAGACCTAAAAACCCACAACTGCAGTTTGTGATAAAGTGGTTTCTAGCGCTCCTATGCTGGCTTGGCACATTAACGCATGCAAAGCAAGGAGAGTTCAAGGGCTTCACCAAACAGTTAATTTTGGCAAAAAGAGAAAACAAACAAAATGCTGAAATTCATAAGCAGGATTAAAAGCCACTGAAGTGAAAACAATGTATTTCTCAACAGTATGGAATCAGACTATAGCTACAATCTTTTTTAAGTCTGCCATCTTTTCCCGCAACTCAGGCCTAAGTTCATAGCAGCATTAACACAAAGTCCTCTGTCAAGCCAGTGTCCTCTGCTTCTGGGGTCAGAGTTCACAGGTCAAAGTCAGTCAGTCCGAAGGATCATGGGAGGGTGCTCGCTGTCTTCCTCCAGCCGCAGGGCGCCTGCTTCCTCTTCTAGGCAAGTGCCACCTGCTGCGCCCAGCTCGTCCGTGTAGGCTGCATGGGGACAGAGACAGCATGTCATTCTCAGGGCTTGGGGACAGAGTGACCCCCACAGCCAGCCTGAAGCTGGACTTGGGACACACAAGGGTGGATTTATAAATGGCTCCACACAGTAGGACTGCATTTTGCTCTTCTGGCCCAGGTCTTTGTGGTCCTAAGCAACTCAAAATGATGTCAAAATCCCCAAATGTTCAAGAGATGCCAGCGTGGTGAATAGGGAGAATGCAGTATATCCACACCTGGGTATGCGGGATGGTCTCAAGAGCAAATGTGCGGCAAAAGTGCACAAATGCCCACTTGAGTTCAGGGTAGGGGTGGGTGGTGGGGTGGTGGTGGGAGGGGGAAGCTGGCTCTTAGGAATCACATGGCCTGGCCTTACTGGCCTGCTGCAGCAGATGGCCTTGTGTGAGGCCCAGTCCTACTCCTGTGCACTCCCTCCACCTGGCCCTGGGGTAAAGAGGGAGGGTGGGTGCAGACTTGTTGAGCGATCACACAGCAGGAGGGTGAACACCCAGCTACAAACACCGAGGGCCCTATTTTAGTTGAGAGGTGACATGCCAGGGGGGAACTTCATATACACCCAAAGTAGCCTGAGTCAAGATGACTTCTTCAAAGATGAAGAAAATTACTCCAGCCTTGAAACTACAGCAGAGTCAAACTTGTCTGTGTCCGTCCTCTCCCTGCTCCTGCCTGAGGGCCAGTGGCAGGCGGGCAGACACCGTGACAGGCGTAAAGAGCATGAAACCGTGCCCAGAGGGCCCAGCAAGATTTCCTTCCAGGTCTGCGTCACAGCCCTTACCCAGTCTTGTTGGGGATGAAGGCACGTGAGTACCTCTGGCCACCGCTGTGCCGTAGGTCTGAGTTACTAAGGGGCAGTCGTGAGAGGCCGAGTCCAAGATTTCGTTGGTCGTCTCCATGCTGCCGTCCAACCTGGAAAGAGCAGAGAAGAACAAACAGTGAGAACTGTCAGGTTTCATGGCCACACTGCCTGGGGCCAGACCCACTGCCACGTGCACAAGGCCCTTGGTGGGTGGACACTCGAGCGTGCCTCACAGTCAGATGATTGTAAATAATACCCGTGTAACTGTTCACTCAGATTTTCACATGACAAGTCTGATGAGACAAAGTGACATCTGGTGAAGCCATCTTATTTCACTTTTAAGCTTCATAATCATAAACAGAATTCAATATATGTTTATACGTATGTGTGTGTATGAAACATCCCCTTCGCCCACCCTGCTTCTAAGCGTGTGACAGTACTGTTGCTACAGCCTTTGGGAACCCATCCTCCCCAAGTCCCAAAAAGGGAACTTCCCAATGAGTCAATATTAATCTCTTCTTTTCAAGCTAATCTTGACAAAAGGTGAGATGGGTCACTGACAGACGTGGAAGAGGGCAAGAGGTCTGTGTGGCCCTGCCAATAGGCAGTGTCAATCTTGTCTGGAAAGTGGCTTCACAACAGTGTAGGCCGTGCGCAGTGCGTACTGGCCTTGGAGGAAGCCTGCCGGGTACCAGAGAGAAGACTGCCCAAGAAGGCCCCGATGCTGGTGCGAGGCCAACTCACTTGTGCTGTTTCATCAGGGTACACTCGCCTCCTTCCTGGGGGTCCAGGTTGTACATGTATAAGTACCCATCAGAAGCTCCAACCAGTAATCGAGGAATCTTTTGAATTCTAGTAAGAATAAAATGCAAACAACTCTAAGACCACGTCTTTCACACACAGTCATTAACCTAGCAATCCCTTTGCCATCGCCGGGGAGGCCCTTCCCACCTGTACATATTTAGTTGTGTCTGTACAACAACAATGACAGTCACGGGATGTATGACAATGGCCCCTACGTGTGGCCTGGAGTGCTGCAGGCCAGCCCACCTAGGCTTGTGTGGTCACACTTCATGGAATCTGCTGGACAAAGTCGAGTGAAGATGGGCACATTTTCCAGAATGTACCCTGTAGTTAAGCACACGGAGAAGAGGCTAATCATCACGGCCATGGTGCTACTTCCAGTCGTACCTCAAACTCAAGGCTGTGCTGTGTGGTTAAGCACCAAAGCTCTCAGGAGAAGAGTTCAGAACAATCCATTCTATGGCTTCCTCTTCACTAACATTTACTTTCATAAAAGCTTCCAGTGACACTAGAGTTAGATAAAAAGGAGGCCAAACAACGTGTGTGGATTCATGGCTGTCTGTCACTGAACTTTCAGACATTCTGCCCCACAAGGCCTACTGTGGATGAGCCTAGGGAATCCTAAGAGCCCCTGTGCATTCTGACACCGTGTGCGGCAGTTTGAGGGAGAACCTTGTGCTGTGTGAGACTACTGGTTTCGTAGGGCCCAAGGGTGAATTACTGGCAGTCTCACAGGGTTAGGATTTGATGAAGTTTTTCTATTTACTCTTTAAATAGTCTCAGAGGAGGAGGAAGATGTCTTGGAAACAAAGACTTGCCGAGAAAGCATTACACGTGAGACGGTGCGGCATACTTGGCACACGTGTGGTTCCCCTCCGCACCCCCAACTCCTGACTCGCTCAAGGTCTAATCTGAGATCTCTGGCCGGGGCAAGGCACAGACCCTGAGACAGGCAGCGCGAGGAAAGGAGGCCAGTGCCCATGCTTACTCACGTGGCCAGTGAGCAGATATTTTTATGGCCACAAAAAGGCAGGCGGACTGTGGCAAAGGCTCTGCCCTGGTTGAACATTTCGGTAACTTGGGAGGGCAAGTAGCTGGTGGAAGCCATGAGCACTTTCCCGAAGTAGCCGGTCCAGGTGGTAGGTTCCTCCTGAGGTCTGCAAGACAGAAGTGTCATCTGCTATGTGGAGCTGAACTCTGCTGTGAGATGACCTTGCTCAGGCACACAGGCATCAGCTCTAGAACTTGAATGAGGGGTCTTCCTGATTCAGGAAAAAGGGTACAGAAATGATGACCTTGGAGGTGGGAGGATCAGAGCACACCACCACCTGGGAAAGCGGCGGGATGCACTGCAGATGCCAGAGCCTGGGGCAGCCATGTACCTCCTCAGGTTGTAACCACCAACCAGGTCCCCACTTACAATAAATGTGAGGACCAGAGTCACGGTCATTCCCTGGACCTTTTTAACAGGAAACCTTGAAAAACATGACTAGTACAAATCTCAAACAGTTAATTCCCTGTTTTTGTTCATCTGATGACTATTTTGTAAGTATCTAAAGTGCTTAAGTATCTCTGAATAAGAGAGAATAGTTAACAGTTGTCCTTGTGGGATGTTTTCTGGAAGCTAAAGGGAGGGCCCTTTTCATGATATATGTCCGTTCAGTAAATTTAAATCAATTGGTTTGAAGTAAAAACCCTCTGTGGGTAGACCGCGGGCAGGCTACCTCCACAAACTCTGGGGGAAGGGAGCAGTATAAGTGGACACTAGCACTGCCCAAGAACCCCTCTGCAGCCTTCCTGCCTCTCATTACATCTCCTTTGAGCACACTCCTACACCGGACATCTTACTGTGAACTAAGATGTCTTAACATTTTACTGCTGAGGTGAGATGTAGTGATAACCTACAGCTAGCTCAAGGGTCTTCACTGGCAACAACATTAAAAAGCAGGACAGGGTCTGTGCTGATGTTTTCATGCAGGAAAAAGTACACTATTTTTTTTTTTTTAAAACAAGCACACCTACAACTCACTTTTCTTTCACAGTCTCGAGTTTGAAGATGTGCACAGTCTCAGTGTTGCTGGACGCTGAGAGGAACATGCCGTCCATGCTGAAGGCCAGTGAGCAGATGCTCACACACCTGGGGAGAAGAGGCAGGTTACCACCCACAAACACTGGAGAGGGCAGGTGGCAACCTCTCAAAGGACTTCTGTATCTGAGGTGACAGAGGAGACGGTCCATGGCACAGGCATACTTGGGCCTCCTGTCCTCATTCTTACCTCTCTTAGCATCTTGAAAACTTTCTATACAGAAAATGTGTGTAGGGCCCTCCCTGGTGGCACAACAGGTTAATGCACAGCGTTGTGAAGCTAGACACCACAGGTTCGATCCCTGGCCAGGGAGGTGACCACATGGTGCAGCAGACCTCTCCTGACCTGCCCACTGCTTCCCTCAGCAGTGGACTTATCCACTTGCCTGTCCTGCTCCTCACTGTCTTTGGTGAAGCCTCTCACTGCCCCTGCACCTCTGGCCTGTACCCCAATTCTGTATGCACAAATACATAAATCTTTAAAAAAAAAAAAAAAAAGTGTGTAGCGCTGAGTCAATATATCCTTGAACAGCCAGTTTCCTTTGCAATTCCAAATAACAAAGGGAACAGGGACTTAAACCATTTTTAGTTCAATTAGGTTGCCTTAGGCTTTAAAGCAAGTAAAAATACAACATTCAAATTATGGTGATTCTTAAGAAACACGAGGTAAGTCAGCAAACTTTTTAATGTAAGAACAGGAAGCAAAGCTTCCAACACACTCTATCTCCGAGGAGGGCCTTAGCTCCGTAGTCACCTAGACTTTGCATTTCCTCATAACCACAGAAATACAAGGTACTTTGACTTCTGTCAGTGTTAAGGGGTTCTAGTACCCACTTACTAGGTACTCACAATGTACCTAGCAGTTCACCAAAGCTCTGAGATCAATCAGAAGTTCTTGTCATTTTGGGAGCCTACACTACGTGTGCAAACTAACTGTTGAGTGGTGCAAGTTGTAAATCTGTTGTAAACAAAGTCAGGCTAAAATGTAGAGGAGGAAGGTGCCACTAAGAAGTGAAGTGGCAGAAGGAAGAGGCCATCTCTGTTGAGCGTCAGGGAAGGCCGCTTGCAGTGACAGATGGCTGATGCAGACTCCAGGGGCTGAGTGGCCTGCCAGCAACGCGACACTCCAGATACAGAGACATCATGTACAGGACCCTAGCAAAGATGCAGATTTCTGAGGCAGTGGATGTACAATGTGGCTGCAATTGAGGGCAACAGAGAAGTACAATAAGTAAGTTGAGAAGGGCTGGATGCTGGGAGGTCTGTGCACTGACGGGCACATGAGTGTGGAATTAATTCCACAGGCAACATGTGCTCTAATGCTATTCACACCTTCAAAGAGCCACCTGGGCTCAGGTGTGAAGCAGCAGAGAACAGGGTGAGCACACGGTAGATGGCAATGTGAGCTGGGGGCTGTGGGGGGCTGACAGAAGGAGGGTTGCCATGTGAGGCCAGACTGGGAGTATGAAGTGAGAGAGGGAGCCAGCCTCTAGTGTGAGGTCAAGGGACCATGGTGATATTTACCAAATGTGAGGGCTGATGAGCGGACGGGCACATTTTGGTCAGTTGTTGTAAGTGCCCAGTGTCTGCCAGGCAGGAGGTATGCAGGCACAGCTCAGAGAAGCACTGGGGCTCCATACAGATGAGGCTGTTAGACAAGTGTGGGTTGTACAGAGTGGGGTAAGCAGTAATTCTGGGAAAGACACAGGGGCAAGTTGAAATGGAGTAAGAAAAAAATTTAGAATGGTTTAATATAGGAAAAACCAAGGGCAAAAAGGAAAAACACCAGAGGCAGTTATGGGCAGGAGCGGTGAGCCTGGCTCTGAAGATGGGACACGAAAGCCCGTTTGTGGGATGATCCCACAGAAGAGGGAGTGAGGACAGTGCAAGGTTCCAGAAAAGGGAGAGGGAGGGGCTAACAGCTGTAAGTTCCAGAAGTTATTCCAAGAGCCAGGATTGCCTGCTCCAAGCCATGGCCCCTGGGAGGTGGGCACTATTCAGTTCCCACTAGTGTGGGAAGCAGAGCCCCAGGGTCCAAGTAATGCCGAATAAAGCCACACTTAAGCGGTGCACTAGATTCCTGCAGTGGAGGCCAGGACTAACCAGGATTTTGTTCTTTCTGGCCAGGGTCAGGACGGGGGTACAGAATATAGGCCCAGGAAGGTCTGCAGACAGTGGGAGAAGAGTTAGGCCAACTCTACAGCGTAACTTTTTTTTTTTTAAAGCAAACAGCCAAAGCTATCTGCAAGGTGAAAGGAGAAATGAGGGAGCTGGCCTCTAGTTTTCAGAAGGCTGGAGCTACAGGTCAGGTTAGGGAGGCCGCTGGTTGCAGCTCACCCCAGAGGGTCTGGTTACACAGGTTCTTCCACTCTTGGGCTCCTTGGCCATCACTCTACCTTCCCCCGACAAACAAAACCCAGTCTGCTTTATATGAATGTTTCTTTACCCTTCTTGATGAGACTCTAAAACCACACCTGATCAAGCATCTGGCTGAAAATGTTTATTTAACGGGGATTCCCAGTGTGTCTTCAACTTTATACTTGTTTGGCCTCAGAAAACTAAAACACGAACAGAAGCTCCAGAATCAATTTTGGTGAATATAGACCTTACCTCTTAACTCCTCTCCGGAACTCAAAGAGTTTCTGACCCTCTGGAATGGAAAATACCCTAATCACAGTTCCCTGTGAAAAAAGGAAAGAAAAAGGTATTTCAGCCAAGTAAAAATAGTCTTCTCTTCTTTCCTATTAGACTGTGTGACATATGGTACATTTGCAGACAGCAGCTCTGCACTGGGCCAGTGTGGAGCTCTGAGGTGATCCCACCCCACCATGGCACCATCTTCCTTCTTTTGTCAAACACACTAGAATACCCCACATTCTACTGTTTACTTAACAATAATTTTTTTCTTTAAATCAATGCACTTGGAACTCACCACCATGATTAGAAGGACACTCTCAGCTTTCAAATAAAATGTGGAATATAATAACTGGACTTTTTCTAAGTCATGTGGTTCTAAACTGCTACAACAAGCCCCATAAGTGTGTACTGCATGTTGGGAATCTCCCCTAACTCAGTGATCTGACGAGGTCTAAGGTCCCCTTTCTAGCCTTTTAAATTTCCTTTCCAGTCACTTTTAATTGAATCTCTGACCAAAAGAACAGATTAGCTAGAAATGTACCTAATTGCCTAAAAAGCAATAAACACAATATTACAAAATGGTTTAAGACCTATATTAAGAAAACTACTGAGACACAAAAGAAAATGTGAGTAAGTGGTGACCTACAGAGCTTCCCTGTTTGAAATGAAATGTTTTGAGGATGTCATTTTCCCTAACACTCCCTTTGGGGTCCCAAGTGAGTAGGGGATGGGTGGAAGGAAGACAGGGCTTGAACTGGGAGAGTAAGAAGGAATAAGTAAAGAAAGTTAAAATGAACAGTACTTTCCACAACTAAATATTAAGAGAATACTAGCAAGCTATAGTAGTAAAATATAAAGCAGTAAAAGCACATAAAGCAGTAAACCAATAGAACAGAAAGAAAAACCTTAAACTGTACATTTCAAGTTTGCAGGGTAGGGAGAATCATTTAACATTTAACCTCATATTGTATACATTTTTAAAAAGGCTCAAATTGTTATACATAAGAACCACAAATAATATACGATATGTTTATAAATAGTCAAAACAGGGGCCTCCCTGGTGGTGCAAAGGGTTAAGTGGTAGCACTATAAAGCAATCCACAGCCCTGCAGCATGAGTTTGATCCCCAGTCAGGGAGCTGACCCACATGGCACAGCAGACCTCTCCTGACATTCCTGTTGCTCCCCTCAGCAGTGTATTTTAAGTCAATCTGCTTTTTCTGCTCCCCACTCTGTCTCTGGTGAGTCTCCTTACCCCCTGCATCTTTTATCTGTACCCCAGTTCTTGTATCCATAAATAAATCTTTAAACAAAACTATTAACAAACTAATGCAGAACACTCTGTATAGTGAGCTATAACAATTAGAAATCAGATTGCAGATAAAAGATTTTTTTGAAATGTTTAAAGATAGTGATTGTCTGGATGGAAGGAGTTTGCAATTCTTAAGAATTGTATAAAATAGCACATTCTTATAAAAAAACATGGCAAGGTTTGACCCTCTCTAGTCTTCTAGACATGCTTTTTAACAGCAGACCTACTATATGTGCTGTCAGTCACAGTTTGACTGCAGTTCCTTGACAACAGGCAACAAAACTGCACACCTGAATGCCTAGTGTACACTTGGGTTCATGCCATGCACTTAAGATGATTCTGTTTAATAGCAAATCAAAGGTTTGCTCTTTACAGTCCAAAAAAGATGATCCTATTTTCACTTTGCAAGTGCTTTATAGAGAGCTTGTTTAAGACCCGATAAAAAACATGAAAGGCCTTTATTAACCCAGAGTGCCAGGGCCATTTTGATACTCTCAAGAAAGAAGACAAAGCCAAGTGATACTGTAATTGCTCAGCACAGTGTTTAAAAGTAAAGTCAGAGCTTGAGTCCAGTCCCTCCGTCACTTCCACTGGGTGATCCTGGGCAAATCACTTAACCTTTCTGAGCTCTTAGTATGAAAATAAAAAATGACCTTGCTGAGGGGATCAAATAGGTCAAAGAATATAAAGGATCTAGGATAATTAAGTCATCCACCAGTAATGTTATTATTACAGAAACTGGCTTAAGAGTTAAGAATAAAGGCCATATGGATAGGGCCCAGGAAAGGGGGCTGAATGCTTTCATATCTTATTTGGTAGGATGGTTTGGGGAGGTAATTTAGGAGGAGAGGCTACTTAAGGTTTCTGGTAAGAAAGTGTCACAAGCAGTGACAAATTTTGCTGGTGGAGAAGGAGGTACACAGAGTGAGGGCACAAAGGCTAAGAGGAAGGGGTGATAATCCAGGGGTCAAATGCATGAAGGATTCTGAAGTGCCATATCCTTTCAACCCAGAACTTCTAAATACTCTAAATATTATTTATATTTTATTCTAATGTATCATAAATAGGCAATATTTACTAAGTACATCACAACTGAACATTATTCAACCATTAAAAGTGTTTAACTTAAATTCAACATTATGCAGAGTTTTTAGAAAAGGAAGACATATCAGCACGTTGGCATTCTGTTCAGTAAACAAAAAGATGACAGGGAATACAATGAAGTATGTTCAGATCAGCTCTAGAGAGAATTACCTCCCTGCTTTTTTACATTATTCAGTATTTCCTAAGCGCTTAACATATTAGTGTCACAATTTAAAAGCACACTGGGTGGGTGGCATGGCTGTGAATGGCACTTGTGTCTCTTCTGCATGTTTCTGTAACCCCCACCACAAACACATACCAGCTCTCAGCTGTCAGATGAAAAGCACATTCTTATGCCTGCCAGGCAGGTTGTTATCTGTGCTTCCTGGGTAGCTGGTTTATATAAAAACTTGTTTGGTGACTTGCCTGTATGACTGAATGGAACTGACAAAGTTTGATAAAACCTTTGAACTACTTTCTACTGGGCTCCAGCTGACCCACCTTCTCAGAAGCAGTGGCGAGCTTGGTTCCACTCGCATCAAAGGCCAGTGCTGCTAAAGGGCTGTCGTGAGCTGGGATCATGTTGGCGGCTCTCTGCAAAGGTCAAACAATAAACTGACTGTCATGCAATGAGACTGTGTCCTAATGTCCACTGGTCATTAGGATGAAAATGCCAATAACTGTTGCAGAAACATCATTATAGTGATTTATTGAGGTGAGGGTCCAAAAATTGCTGCTTAAAACATTTAAAAAGCAATGTATTGGGCCCTCCCTGGTGGCACAACAGGTTAAAGCGCAGCCACTGCAGCACGAGTCCGATCCCTGGCCAGAGAGTTGGCCCACGTGGCGTGGCAGCCCTCTCCTGCCCTGCCCGCTGTTCCTGCCCCCCTCAGCAGTGTATGTCAGTACGTCTGCCCGTTTTGTTCTCCTCTCTCCCTAGTGAGACAACCCCCGACCCCCACACTCCTAGTTATACCCCAGTTTTTGTATGCATAAATAAATCTTTTTAAAAAAGCAATTTATTATATTAATAAAGTTTTTATAGTTTTCTCCATTCCTTCAAACATTCACAATGCTAGGAGATCAGCACTCTGGGAACTGAGTGACATAGCTGGAGGCAGAATTACCGGGACTACTTTGCATTAAGAGCAGAGCAGTGAAAACTGCTGTTGAGCCAAAGCTGAGATGTCAAAGGTTCCACAGCAGTGTTCTAGAAAATGGCACATTAAAAAAAAAAACAACAAGAAAAACATAACTATCCAAGTACAAAGGCACTCACCAAGTTAATGGTGTCGAAGACCTGCACCTCCCCAATGCTCGCGCTGCCCGGGTATGCCAAGTAACAGTTGTCGTTGCTTATTGACAGCGCACACAAGCCTGTGAGTCACACACGAGAACAAGTGCCGGGTTATGGCCAGAGGATTTTTCTTTTGGTGAAAACCCTTTTGCATTTAGTTAACAAAGAATGTACCAATCAAAGAAGGCTCTGATACAACCTTGGTGTGCGCTAATGAAAGTCCCACACCCTCCCCCAAACCGCCACCTTAGTGGTCATAAAAAACAGAATAAAGGCCCTGGGCATAAATGATCAGTAACCTCAAAATCAGAAGCTAACCAATGCCAATGATTTATGTGGCCAAAGAGCAGCACTGGTAGGAAGGTAGCTTTGTTGAAACAACACTTTTTACCCTGTCTCTATCCGTGGGACCTACAAAGAGATCTCTCTCACCTAGCTAGTAACCGTTAGAAGGCTGAATCAGAAAAGTAATTTTCACCTTACAGTTCATTTACCTGCAGGGTTTGGGGGCGTCTCCCTGATTGTATGCAGTACCTTCATGTCCCGAATGTTGTGTATATAGAGAGATTCTTCCAAGCACACTATTAACCTCTAGAAGAGACACAAAAACAAAAACCATGAAGAAAGAGCCAGTACAGCACAGGCCCCCAATCTTTACGTAACCAACTCCCAGGTTAAGATACACTCTGCGACGTCACGTAACCAACAGACGGGTGCCTGTAGCACAGAGGGTGCTTGCGGTTACCAAGCGGTGTTCGTGCTCCTCATCTAGCCGCGAAGTGGTGTCTAAGCCAGCTAAGCCTGTCCCACTGCACTTGGACTTCTATGATTTACTAATAGAGAAACCGGTAAAAGCATAGCTATGAAAAGTGGTTTTTTTGTGGGGGTCATTTCTGTTTCACTCTGTCTTCCCCTCATGAAAACAAAGTGCACTAGACAAGTCTGGTAAAAGTAAGCTGCTTAAAAAAACTGATGTTGAATGAAACAGGGAAATGGAAAGTAAAACTCAGCATTTTTAAAAAGCACTCCGTTTTCAAACCATTCTGCACTCACTCTGCTTTGCCGATGTCTAAGTTCTTGCTCTCTCTTAAAGAAGATCAATGAGCTGGTAGCTGATGCATTGAGGATTAGTCACACAAGACAGACTTGACAGTCATGGCTCTACATGAGCTGGTAGGGAAAGCACAGCTGCATGTTTTCAGTTTAAAAAAATGTCAACATGTCATGCCATAGTTCCCAAGTTTAGCCAACTTCTCCCGTTAACAGATCACTTCCCAGTTCCAACCAGTGGCCCTGGGTCACCACATTCCAAGCTCACCAGCTGCAGTCACGTATGTTCCATGTCTGGCTGCTTCACTAGCCTCCTTGCACAGAGCATGCTAGAGGACCTTCAGGAGAGTCCTGTGTTTCCTGAGAGAGCCATGAGACAGTCTCAGGAAATAAACTCAAGTACTAGTCACCCAAAAATGGGTCAGCCATTACTGTGAACTTTGGAGATTAAAAAAATGTAAGTAGTCTTCTTAAATTAAAAGTTAGATCAACAGCTTAACAAGGGAAAAGAAGAGGAGTCCAGCTTCTTTTTTTTTAAAGTAACACAAAAGCAAAGAAAGGTAAAAAACTGATTCAATTCTACATGAGAGTTGGGGTACCCAGGAAAATGGTCAGGTTTGTGTCTTGAAGGATGAGTAAAAGGTGACAGAAATGGAGTGGTTTCAGCAGGACGTCCAGATGAGAACAGAGGGAATCAGGGTGATAGGTCCATGTGCCAACACAGGGCGAAGTAAACAGGGCCTTCACCAGAGCTCAGGGACTGGAAACAACGGGTTCAGCAGTCTGGTCAGCTTGGTCCCAGAGGTGCTGAAGGAAATCAGGAGCGGCGGGGACGGTTGTAAGTCATACTGAACACACTGAGCAGTGGGCAGTGCACAGCTGGCAGCTTGGCCTCACTAAGAATGTCGCTCACCTGTCGATTCAACTTCACAGCCAGGATCGTGTTGGAGTAGCTATAGTTGCAGATCTCAGTGCCCTTCTTGAAGTGGCAAACTTTCAGCTTCCTAGGAGCTTTGAGGCTGACGATGGCCACTAAGCTGCTTGAGAACAATCTTTCTACAATGCACACATCTTCAGTATCAGCTGAAAAGTACAAAAAAAAAATACTAATGTGCATGAATTCATGTCAGTGGGCACACACAAATGAGTGTCTAAGTGTAATTTCAGGTGAAGCAGAACACGACAGGGTACATGGTGGATGTTTTTTGACTAGCTGGGCTTAGGTCAAAGTCCCAGAGCAGCATGGGATAGTGATGAGGCACTTGGGGGCAGACAGACTGGGGTCAAATTCACCATTTTAGTTTAAGCATCACAGATAAACCACTTTAAGGTCTCCCTGTCAGAACACTTCTGCAAGGAGGGCCCATTTCAGCTCCAATGCCATCTCCTGAGAGCTTCTACCCCTGCCTCTCCTGATGACTGTCTCTTCCCTCCCTGGCAATCCTGCGACCCTCTAGTTTGCCTGCTTCTGTGTACTCCTTACCACTCTGGAACTTGAGAGCCAAGATGACAGAGGCTCATTTTCCTGTTCACAGCTGTATCCCTGGCACTTGAAACAGTACCTGACAAAGGGCAGACCCTCATATAGCTTTTTTTTTTTTTTTTAAATTAAAGTACCACTGACCTATTTCCTTATCAGTGTTTTAGAAGTATAGGCTTTCCCCCTTAGAGGGATTTCCCCCATCTAGTCTTTGAATGGATTAATCTTTCTAAGTCTTGCTTTCCTCATGTGTGAAGTAGGGATCAGTTATACCACACTATTGTCAGGAGGAAATGACAGGGCAGGCTCAATTCTAGTACCCCATATCCCTCAGCTGCATGTTATCCACTTAAAATGAGGATATCCCCTACTTAGCAGATTGTAGATTAAAAACTGCACACAGCATCTGACACAGCAGCCCCTCCACAGAGCTTAGAGATTACTTCCCCCCACTCCCCTGACTGCCTGCACCTGCCTAACGTGCTCAGTGACAGATGATGAGTGTTAGTTTTAGAGTCAGGTCCAAAGCGACATCATATTTATGGGGGAAATGCTAAGGCTGTGCTATTATTTTGACTGGAAAACTGGTAAAGTTAGGTGCGTAAGTCTGAGACCTGCCAGCACTTCATCAGTCACCTTTCCCTAGCCAGCCAAGAGAGCCTCACTCACCTCTCTCCTGTGGCAGCAAGCTAAAACCTTGACTCAGAAGAATAAGGTGCCTGAAGGTGCTCTGCTCGCAGCCCTTGGAGGAGCCACCAACCCCTTCCAGAATCTGAACCTCAAATGCAGGGCACAACTAACTACACCATCCTGCTGGCATGGAAGGGCAAGGGGCTTTGTTTTTTTATCCTTGACGCATCTCCAGTATCTGGAACTCTGTCCAGTACCTGGGCCTGCCAGTCTGACATTTAACCCAGAATGTCAATTATTTGCAGTAAAACTACCTTCCCTTAGGTCCACACACTTATGTTCTCTGATCAGCCATTTTCTCTTGGGAAAGTATGGCCAATGGAATGGGGAGCAGGAGGGTGGGGGGATTGGGGTGGGACTGGAGGCAGAGTTCCACGGCTAATGTTCCTAGATCCCGCACATTTCTCCAAGGTGGCAGGCTGCTGGGGAGTGGAGATGAGGGTCTTTTCTCCATCACTGTCTGGGGTCTTACTCTTCAGGCCCCATTCTTTCATTAAGATTTAATAACTGGGGTGCACTGCTTTAATCAATTGCAATTTCTGCGCTCACCATAGTAATGACTACAGAAACATGTTTATCTGGACATTTTCAGTAGCACGGTTCCCTGCTAAGCCCAGGACAGGAACACTGCATGTCCAGTTCTAACAGCACCCAGCAAAAGGGGTTATTCACACATTGCTGGATGACTGAAAATGGACATTATTAGGTTCACAGTATTCTCCCAATTATCACCATTAAAAAATCCAACAGAACAGTAATCTCTTGAATGGGGTCATAGCTGAAGATGGGCTAACCTCATTCATGACAGTCCATTCTGGTGGTGTTATTACCCCAAGAGTTATATCTAAGTAGTAAAACTGCTCTTGGTACAGTTGCACTATATTCAACCCAGCATTATGTACACCAGGCGAGTGCCATATCACCTGGTGAATGCTGGGGATATAGGTGCCTGAGCGGTGGGTCCTCTATGGAACTCAGAGTTTAAAAATCAGCTTCTAGTCTTGCTCTGACCAGGTGCCAGTTTCTCAAATGGTGAAATCAGAGCTATATTTTCAGTTTTGTTAATTCTAGGTCTGAGACACATTAGAGAATCTGGTAGAAGCACACTGACTTGTTATTAAATAATACAATTTACTAAAATCACTGGCTCTTTAAGTTAAACTTATGTCAGTTCTCATTATTCATACATTCTGCATTTGTGAATTTGTGTAGCTATAAGTTTACTTGTAATCCCTAAAATAAATTCAGGGGAGAGCAGAGACTTCCATAGTCATCCCTGGCCAGGCAGACCGGTTAAAAAAAAATGTAGTCACCGATGAACACATTTCCAGCTAGTTTGAACAAGGCAATAGTTTTTGAGATCTTTGTTTCAGATCTCATATTGTAAAGAAATTACCTTTTTGTGGTCTATCTCTTGTACTTTTGTGCTTTGGGGTTAGTGATTTCACTGTTTAAAATGGCCCCAACCTTAGTGCTGAGGTCCTGCTAGACTTCCTAAGTGCAAGCAGGCTCTGATGCACCTTCCACTTGTCAGGCGAGATGGGTCTCAGATGGGTTATAGTGTTGCTGCTCTGAGCTGAGTCAACAATTATATTAAATAAAATGTCTCTACACAAAAACACAGGTAAAAGGCCTAGTATTCATTAGGTGGAAAAAATGTGAGCCAAGGTTCACAGGAACCTTATTCTAGAAGCAATGAGTCCATATTTGCTAATTCAGTGTTGAGGGTAAGGGTAATATACTGCTTTGATGCAGCATCACTTATTATTTCACTCATTCAACACATAAATTTACCTACTATGAGCACCTGCTCCAAACTTGGGATACACAAGCATGGCAAACATCATCAGCCCTGTGACAGTTCAAGGACAGGCAATGGAGACCAGCAACAGAGACACAGCAAAGAGAAAAACCATGGCACAGGACACAAGACTCTGAAGGCAGAAGACAGTGAAGAATAAACAAGCATGTCAAGTGCTGCTGCATGGCTAAGGGGAAACGAGAAGTATCCACTGGAATGGAGAGCGTGAGGTTGTCTGGGGACGTTGAGGCAGAATACAATGTAGAAGGCAGATGAGGATGTGGAAAGAACTAGGGAAAACTAGCAGAAGTTGTGTTATGAAGAAATGCAGCTCTGTGGAGAGGTTGGAGCCTATGTCTGGCCACTGGAAGTTACTGTTTGAAAATTAACAAGCTCCTACATAGACAGATGGAGAGACTGACACTGCAGCAAGAGACAGGCTAAGTGAAGGAACAAATCAGTAAACCAGAAGGCAAGATTCAGGAGGATGGTTTTAGTAAGACAGGAATAACTTTTTCCCACTTAAGAAGAAGAAGATGAAAAAATGACAGACATGGGTGGGCTGGTCATCTAAGGGAGAAAATGTAAGCAAATTCCATGCTACAAGCATCAGTTTTTCTTTGAAGCAAGAAGAGTGGTTATTAGCTTTGGGGGTGGGGGTGGGAAGAAGAAATGGGAAATTTAACAAGTGAAGATAGTATGAAACAATCATAACAGAGCACTGACAACCCTTCAATTGATGTTGTGGTAATTCACATTCAACCAGAGAAAATTTAGGGCAATTCAACAGACCAAAATTCAACACTCATCGTAGTGAATATTAAGAAACCTAAGACTAGGAAGAAACTCCTTTGACACCTAAAGGACATTTAGGAAAAATGTGGAGTTAAAATCATACTTAAGGGTGAAATATTGAATTCTTCCTTTTAAGACTACAAACAAGGCAGAGAGAGACCCACTTTTCATTTTGTAGTGGAAATTTTGCACACTGCAGTGAGATAGTAAAAAGAAAAAAAAGAATCTAGGACCAGAAAGGAAGATGTCAAACTGTCTCTACTACAATCTTCAGGTATCTACTAAGCATCTATTAGAACTAATGAGTGAACTTAGCAAAGTGAAAGAATACAAGCTTAAAATACAAAAACAAATTATTTTTATAGATTAGCAGTGAACAATTAGAAAATCCATCTACAACATCACTTAGAACCATAATAGTTTGAGTAGAATTAACAAAAGATGTAAGACTGCAATACTTAAACCAACTGAATGTTACTGAGAAGTTAAAGAAGTTCTACATAAATGGAGCTGTATATCATGTTCATGGATTGGATTATACAACACTGTTATCAATTCTCCTCAAACTGATCCCTAAATACAATGCAATTCCAATCTTATCCCAACACTTTTTTGGGTATATACTGACAAGCTGATTTTTAAGTTTATATGAAAAGGCAAAGGAAGTAGAATGTCCAAACCTATCTTGAAAAAGAGCAAAGTTACACCACGTAACTTCAAAAGTTACTGTAAATCACAGTGAACAGGGCAGTTTGTGCTGATATGAAGACTGACAAAAAGATTGATGTAAGAAAACATACAGCAGAAACAGATCCACATGCAAAGAGTTGTTCTTAGGCACAAAATAATGAAAATTTCTGACAAAGATGTAACAAGAATACATAATGAAAAAAATTAACCTTGATTCATTTATCTTATAAAAATTAATTTGAAATGGATCTCTGAACTAAACATAAAACTGAAGCTCTAAAGTTTTTATTTTTTAAGACTTATTTTTATTTATTTATGCATACGAGAATTGGGTGTAGCCAAGAGGTGTGGCTGGTAGGAGGATTCACCAGAGAGCAGACCAGGCAGATCTACTGAAATATACTGCTGAGGAGAGCAGGAGAGGTCTGCTGCGCCATGTGGGTCACCTCCCTGTCTAGGACTGAATTCAGGTGCAATGGCTGGCAACAGCATGATAGTTGAGACTTTAACCCCTGTGCCACGAAGGAGGACCCATAGTTAGCAATATACATGCTTAGTATTGAATCTGTAATGATGTACTAATGTCTTAGCAAAGTACTAGGCACGTAGATACACAAGGTAAGATCA